GGTGTAATTAAGACTAAAGCTTGAAAGTGAGAGCTAGCCTAGACAATACTTTCTACACCATCTTTCGGCTATTTGTTGTTATTTGGAAGCGGAAACTCCAAATATTTTTCACTACATATATTGTATACTACATGAAATTAGTGAAGAGTCATCGGTTATCAGAACTTCCAAGTTTGTCGTTTAGTAGGTGACCTCCGTAGTGTTTCATCACTAACGACCATCAGTTATTTATTAAGAACAATGCTTCAAATGAAAGTGTAAAGTGTATCTTTAGTATTTTAATTAATAATATTTAGAATATCAATCAGTAAATAGTTTATTTAATCACCCCTAAACCTAAAAGGACACTCTAGATCTGTTTATTTCAATGACCAAATTGTATGATTATTGCTAAAAGGATTGCTTTTCCCCCTACTTGAACCCGAAACATTTCTTTTGATTAGGGATTAATTTGAAGAAGTTTTAAAATTCACTTTTTATTCCCATTCTTGTCTCCTATTTTTCCATTTTCTTTTCCCTGTGCACTAGAAATGGATTTTTATTATTATTGTTTGAAAATCCCCGCCCAACTATTGTCAAAACTTTTTTGTTTCTTAGTCTAAAGAGGTAAAGATCAAACGAAAGCTATAAACTGTTAATGATAGTTTGATTTTATTGATTTTTTTGCGTACGCTAAGTGGTCAGTTGATATCATCATAAAAAAGCGAGTGGCAAATATTCAGCATGTTTTGTAATGATAGATACCAGCACTGAACTTCATAAAAAATATGTAATGATTATCATGAACATGCACCTTTGATCTTTTTAAATTAATCTAAAATCAATTATTCACTATCGAAACTAATGAACACTGAATGAATACTTCTTTTTTAAAGTGCATTTATGGGTGCTGTTCACTCACTGTCTATAGAGAGCTAATTTATTAGAAATAATATTGATTGAGTCTGTCATCCTATTAGACTTGCTAGTATTGGTCATTTTCAAGGTCTTGCACAGGCATACATAGTCTTTTGCAGCATTTAGATAAACAACTTTGAAAAGTTGAGTCCAAGCAGTTTTATCAACAATTGTTTGTGAATTTAAGGACATTGAATCTATTTTAAGGAGTAAAATTTTGATAAGCCCGCTGAATATATATATATATATATAAACATCAAATTCACTAGGTTCATTGCTTCTCATTCTTCACAAAAGTTGACTTTGAATTAATTAGTTTCGAATCATTCGTTGAAATGTTATGTTCTGTTTTAATTGTCCAAATTATGCATGAATTTTAAATAAGATGTTTTTTCTTACTTTAACCTTTTGTCATCTACGAGAGCATTTCCGTTGAACTAATTTTTAAACAAACAGCATCTTATGGATCAATGATCAATACATTACCTCGATTACTGTGAGAATTCCATGGTGGTATAACGGAATATTGTGTTAAACTGTTCTTACCTTTGAATACATTAGTGTTTCATTGTCTTATTATTCTCTAATGTGATTCACACTTCTGTTAGTCAGTCACACGGTTTAATGAGGAAAACAAAATATGACTTTGTAACAATAATTGGTAACCTACTTAGTGTCAATTCCAAAGTTGAATAGTATAGTGTGCCTTGCGATGCTTGACAGTACTAGGCTCAGTTCTGTAAAGTACCCTGGAAAAAGGCTACAACTTTATAATATCTCTCCGAACATTTGTCTAATGCATCTTGATTTTCTATAATACTTAAGTTGATATTCGTGTATAAGCAAATTAATTCTAATCTCATCAGCTCCTCACGAACTCTCTGGTTGGTCAGAACTGTAGAAAAAGTAGCAAACAGTTGTAAAATTTTCACACACAGTGTTAAACTCCATTCCATGTGTACGACATATTTCGAGCATATTATATTTTTTAAAGTTTGCTTTGTTAGGGTTAGTTATGTTTTTACGAGTTGATCACGGATTGATATCAGAAAACATAACTAACCCTTACAAACCAAACTATAGAAAATTAATCTGATGCTCACTAGTGACTTACTACAGGGTGGAGTTTCCTGGAGTTCTACTGAGAAGTAGTGACCAGTGAGGTTCATCCAGATGTCACATGTGAGGATGGATGTCTCACCGATGACATTGGTTGGTGGTCGCGCTAAATCACGAATTGGTAGAACTTAGAATTCATGAGCCATTGAATCGGGTCCCAGTGGCTAAATGGTATACGAGCTTGCCTTGTAACCGGAAGGTCCTGGCTTCGTACCCAAGTGGTCGCGTACTGCCGATGATTTCCAAAACTAGGTAGAAACAACTGTCCAGTACTCCCTGCTTGTTTTCAATGGTTCTCTAACTGATATCAATCCGTGATCAATTCGCAATAACATTTTATATTTGTTGGACGATCCTATATTTTTTACAGGAATGTTCATGAAGTGTCCATAAATGGAAAAAGCTACTAAAAATGATCAACACAGATGTTTACCTTAAAATAAGACAGTCATCGACTGGTGCCACACTGAGGGAAAACAATAATCTAGTATACGATGTATCTTGACAGTTCTCCAGATGACGTCATTTGGTGACAAAATTATATTTAAGTGGTGTAATCTATTTCTTGTACGATTATGTTATTAAAAACATTTAGCGTGTAGTATAACTTCATCAGAAGTTTTCTTACCAAGTTCAGCTTGTTTTGCACAGTAAAATACGATGTAAATTTACATAACTGGAAGCAAATTGTCCAGATTAACTCTGCTTGTTGCATGCTCATGTCTCTTATTCTGACATCACTGAAAACAAGATAATGGTTCCATTACAGTAAAGTATTTTGTTTTAATTTTGATCATGGATTGATATCACTTAGAGAACCAATGAAAACAGGCATTTTTGGCCTAATTTGGGACTCTTCATCAGTACTCACCCACTGGGTTTTTAACCTCGAAGCATCTGGCTAAAAGGAATGCTCGTAGACCATTCAGCCATCATACTGACATAGGCTAAAATTCATGGATTATTAAGTCAGGTCCCACTGGCTGAATGGAGCTTGCGTAGTAACCAGATCTTGGGTTAGAATCCCTCTGGGTGCGTACTGTCGATGCGTCCGAGACTAGGATGAAATGGCTGTCCAGTACTCCCTCGTTTTCAATGGTTCCCTAGCCAATATCATTCTGTGATCAAATCTGAAAGAAATCACATCCTTATAAATAATTGCTTGGAAAATATTTTGTGATGAAAAAAAGAGCAATAGTGAATTTAAAGATTTCATTTCTAGACAATTAATAACAGCTTAATTCCTCTTATCGTGCCTGGCGCGAAAACACTGTCATATGTATAGTGTTTAATTGTGAATAATTAGTTTGACTATTCGTGTCAGCGTACGCTACATATAATACTCGACATTTGTGTCCTACATTGATATTGGGATGCTGCCGACCTACGGAATCGATGCTACGAAACTGCCTCCATCAGTCTTGTCTCAAAGTTATTGTAGGATGCAGTCTAATTCTAACTCTAAACCTACTATCAGATATATTGTGAGTGTCGTGAATGGTTCACTTTGGTGAAGACAAAACAATTCACTTATTTATTTCCATGCGAATATTTTGTCGGCCACCAACCAACCGCAGCTAACAGTCAAACAGCCTAAATACTCCACTTTCAAGCCTTCTGAATCTTATCGGGAGTATTACATTTGCTCAATAGTCTATGTTCTTTCTGCTGTGATCAGTAATTAACCCCATATCTTTGTGAGTTCCTAACCGTGTACAATAACTGTCTAGATGATTTTCTGTCATACACGCTAATAAGGAGGTAACTGAAGTATATACCCAAGGGTTCACCTATATAACGTCTGGATATACACAAATACTAACCGATTTTGCCATTATTTAGTTTCTAGAATGCCTGTTTTTATTCGTATAAATATAATCAATTTTCACACCATTTTTATTTATTTGTCATCACGCGGCATCCTCCATGGATGTTCATTTCCATCATTTTAAGCTCTTTTTTGTATAGAAACAAAACTATACGCATCAATTTGTGAGGCTATAGTACATCATCATAATAGACTCATTTAAATATCTAAGGCT